CTGTCCTACCAATTTGATTTGAAACTGTGTCATTGCTATTTGTTTCTCAATAAAATTATGGAAAAAAAATAATAACTATAAATATCCTAGTCAATAATTAAGTCTGACAACTAAGAGATATGCTTAGATTTGAAGTTATTTTGCAACATTTTGCAATAGGTATAATAAAAGTGTAATGCAGAAATGGAAATTAAAATAGAGACAATTACAAACAACAGGTTGTACAGCTTGAAAACAGTTATTCAGACAACACAATTTGAAATTTTTATTTAAAAGTGGATACTGAAGGGCTGGCCCATTAGCTCAGGTGTTTAAGTGCCTGCTGAAACAAAGCAGTTAGGCTCAGGAGGCTGTGGTTGATCCCCTCATCCTCAAGCCAAACCAGACCTGCCCTGAGGGCATCCTGAGCGCGCCCCCCCCAAAAGAAATCCTTAAAAATAACAAAAAACCCCAAATAGTTCAGCAGATTAAAGTACCTGCAAGCAGGTGCAGGGGGCGGGACTTCAATCCCTGCGCCTGCTGTGCCGGCCTCGCCCCTGGGGTGTGCTGAGATGGCAACTGAGACAGGGCATTGTTGCACATGTCTGTAATCCCACCTCTTGGGGGGCTGAAAACAGGTGGATCACTATGAGTCCGATCTAGTAGTGAGACCCTGAACACCCTGTAGACCTTTGCCTAAAATACAAAATTTTTAAAAAGGGAGATATTGTCATTTGCTGATTTTTGTTTTGTTTTGTTGCTGGGGACAGCACCCAGGGCTTCATACACTAAGCATCCATTCTGCCGCAGAGTTACACCCCAGCCCACCTACTGCTTTTTAAGTTCAGTAACCCAGGGGGCTGGGGAAATAGATCTGTTAAATAAGCGCTTGCCTGGCAAGCGCAAGGGCCTGAGTTCATTCCCCAGCTCTGAAAAAAAAAATGAAGTAAATTCAGTAACTCACCCTAAGATATGTTACATATGTTGATTTTTAAGCTTAGTAGTTCAGCAGTAGAAATATGTTAAATATATTTAACAAATCCATTAAACACTATCCCAACTTGGCATGTGAGTAGATTTGGATACACTCTTAGTTAAATCCTTCAGTAAATATATAAGCTTACAATTTGGTCCTTGAAACTGAGGAACCAAATTTTAAAAATGTGCTATTCAAGCTCAGGAACCAAACAGATCATATGGTGAAAAATATTTTTTATGCTATAAAGGTAAAACTTTAACTTCTCAAATGAAAGAATGCCCAAAGTATAGCACTTACTATAATATTGTCACCAAAAGCACAGGAAACAAAAGAAACAAAAGTTTTTAGCATCAAAAGATTTCAACAATGGAGTGAAAAGACAAATCACATAACAAGAAAGCATCTGCAAATCTAGGGAG